GGAGAGCCCCATTTAAAAACAGTCTGTTGCGCGTAATGGAGCATGTTGATGAGAAAGGATGACGTTAACATCCATACACATCCATACGTAATTCACTGACAAATTCACCTTAGTTTCCTCTATACAATACAATCTTTTTTTTTTTCATTATTAGCAATATAATATATTTTCTTGAGCTTCCTTTTTTAAATGTTTTTTTTTTTTTGCCCATATTGACTATGGGAGGTGATATCGTACCATTTTTTGCAGCGTGCATCTTTAGTCCTCAACTGTACGGTGGCAGGGGAAAGGGGCGGTACTTCCTGTTCTGACTGACCAACAGTAGCTTAGCAGGAGGTTGAGTGGCATGCTTTCCCAGAGTAGGCTGGTGAAACTGAATGGTAAATGTGAGTAGTGGTTTATTCCGAGGCGTTGAGGGGGCGTGGCTTTACTGAGTCGAAGAGAGCACGTGACCCGGTGAAAAAAAGCAGGGTGTGCCAAGGCCAAGATACAAGCTCACCAGAGAGAGAGAGAGACTGCGGCGAGAAGACAGAACAAGAAAGACAGAAAGCGAGAACAGAAGAAAGAGACCCTGCAGAGAGGAGAAACAGGTACGGAACACGGGCAGAGCTGGAAATCTAGGCCATTCCCCCCACTAAGAATAACTAGCAGGCATCTCTCCTCCCCTCAAAGACAATTAGAGTGGAACTTCACAGCACTGCAGCACGGGCACAACCAGTTCAGCAAGGAGATGCATGCACAGACTGCAGCGACTAGTGTAGTGTGAACCAATTATGTTTAATTACATCTATCTGGCCTGGATGAGACGCTAATTAAAATGGTCTGGGTAACTAATTGATTTAGTTAGATTACACAATGCTGTTTAAAACCCTTTGGGGTCGACTAACGCGGATACGCGTTTTGTGGCATCTTCTCCTGATAACACCGAAAAGAACTTAAATTACACTTTCAGTTTTGATCTTACAGATAAGAGCAATACATAAATCGAATCTGTAAATGGTCTACTTTTATTTGTATACACACATAATAACAACAAAACTTTGTGCATTTATAAAATAAAGAAAACAAACAGGGTGCGCTGTCTGCCGCCTTGGTCTGCGTGATCTTTATTTAGAAACGCGTCATTAAAATGAACTGTAACTCAGCAAATACTCAACAAAGAGACATGAGAGATATATCTATAGAAAGCTTGACATGTCTACTTTTAAACTAAG